TATTACAGCCTATGACATATCACCTTTTCTGCTGGATTGCATTGTCACAGGCCAGGAGGTGTGGGCACAAACATTGAGGCTTGCCCTGTATCGTAGTCCAATGCGCATCATAGCTTACAGAGCTTATGTAGTGCATGGCATGGTCTGCAAGTTTGTTTGTTTGCTCATCTTCGAGCTTTTGGACAGTCTTCGTTAAGCTGTGACTGTGAGGTTTTGGTTGGGTTGCTTAGGGGCGGAGGGCTCTGTGTATCTTGCGCCGGTCGCTTCTGCCATGGCAGATGAAGATGCCGCTGTTGAAGCCTTGCGAGCAGAGATCGAGGTGGCGCGAAACCCCAATCCCAAATCCTAAACCCAAAAATGTATACAGGGGTTTAGGATTTGGGGCACAGGTTTCGTGTCACCTCGACTTTTGCACGGAAGGCTTCAAGGGAATTGCGGATGAGTGCCCTGAGGGCTGGACATGCTTTGATTGAGAGCGAAGTCCCACAGTATACCGACATGGTCAACAAATGCCGCAAATCCCTAAACCCCTAAAGGCCGAAAATTCCGAAACCCCTTATAAAACCCTAAACCCGAGGTGACAAGAGCGCAGGTTCAAGCAGAGACGGCCAAGAACGAAGAGCGGCGAGCTCAACTTGCGGAGGCCACCGCGAGGCAGCAGCCCCCGAAATCCCCAAACTCGATGCTCCCAGGGCCCCTAAGAGACTCTGAGCCCTAAGCCCTAAAGCTGCACGAAAGGAGACCCTAATCAAATAAAGAACCAGAGCCGAGAGGCAGAAGCTTCGACGGGAGCTGGATGAGCAGAGGATGTGGTTGCTTCGAGAGCAACGCCGAGGACGAGGGCTTGAGTCTGAAACAAAGCGGGTGGACGAAGACAAGGATGGAGACTACCAGCTTCAGCGTGGTGGCTTTGGTCAGTTTCAAGGGAATCGTCGATACGGAACGCATGAGGGGGGAGAACAGGTGAGTTGTGCTCGGAAAATCTACACCGAAGAGTTTGTCTGGGAAATTCAGGGCTTCTCATGGCTGAATGGCGTCTTAGACTACGAAAGGGAATCCTTCGTTTGGTCCAACTTCTTCTGTGTGGGTTATGCGAAGTTCTACCTCGTCTACAACCCTTTTGGTGACGAGCTGTGGAATCAGAGGCATGGCTCCTTTGCCATCGTCTGCCACAGCGGGAACTGCAGCCGATTCCGGTACTCGGTTTTTGTGAAGGCTCGGAGCCGAATGTTCAAAGCGTGGGGAGAGACCTCCGAAGGCACCTTCTTGCCGGACTCTGTGCACGGCCCGGATGTCTTCCACAGCCAAGGACCCTCGGCTCCCGCCGCAGGGATCTTTGGGCTCTCGCATCGGCAGCTGCTGCAATCCGACTGGGTGCAGGATGACATGCTGACTTTGAAGGTCTTAGTTAGCCAATAGGAGAACTTT